AAACTCTCGATTCCAATTCAACCATAAAAACAAAGAAAGGATTTTCCACCTCAACTGCGAATTCAACTTTCGTAACATCAAAACAGAAACAATGAACAATTGCAGCATTAAGCAACCCATGAAACTCGGCAAGAACAATATTGTAGGATTTTTCGATGGCATAGGAATAAAAGCAGTAGAAAAATCGTCAACGACGCAATCAAAAGGAACAATAGCATAACTGCCGTGAAATTGCAGCATACGAGCCAATAAGAAAAGCCATCTATGTGAATCTATTGTATGATTTTTTAGCAATTTTTCTAATGATCAAGAAAGAAAATGATGATCTATTTAGAAAATAATAATGAATGGAAATCGAAAACAACACCCCACCAATACGAATCGAAATTCATGTACACAACCATATATAAACAACAACAATCGATCATTAATCGAAGAGTTGAGATCTTCGTGCGTGACTTGTGATTTTGATTCGATATTCATGTACACAAATATGAATCGAGATCCATATAACATATTTAATATTCTATGTCAATTAATATATAATTTAGTCACATCTTGAGTTAATTCATCCATCTTACCTAACAATTTTTTTTTTCTTGTCTTGAATTTACGTTGAATGTGTGATAGTTCATATCTGTTCGAACTATTTGAGTTATTATAACCAGTTACTTGATACATCTAAACTATAAACAACTTAAAATTTGGAAGGAGAAGTGATATTAGATCATTTCCGAATTATTGCAACACTAATTCACATAGAGTGAGTGTTAAAAGACTAAAGTTTGACTCAAATTATCATATGCAATGCATCAATTCAACAATAAGTTGTTTGCCTAGATGGATCCATTAAAGTGATTATTTGATATGTTAGCAACAGAAATATTAATCGAGCATAAAATGAACCGATGAGTCGTCATGTTTAACATGTTGTTAAATATTAGAAAATAAGTTCAACATTATTAATATTAATGTTCATAAGTTCAACATTATCAATATTAATGTTTTCCACTTAGAATTAGAGAATAAATTAGAAATAATTACCTCTTGGGTCGACTAAACTTTTGAAACTGCCTATTTAACGAGATTAAAAGAATCTTCACAAATCAAACTTTCTTAGGTCACAGTTACGAGATTATCAAAAGTTTAATTCCACTTTTTGCAACTAATTAATTACTATTAATTATCATTAATAAAACTGTAAGATTTATCGAGATTCTGAATCGGCTCTTCTCAAACCCTCAACCTTCACACACGCATATCAAAAAATTGCAGAATAATTGATGATGACCTTTTTCTCATCTTCTCTAATTTGTTCAAAGAAAATCTCGATCTAGATGGCGAAAATTAAGGATGAGAATTATGTCTCTGATTCTTCATCTGAAGGCGAACGTAGTTTGGAGCAAAACAATCGGAAAGTTGAAGTTCAGCGTCGTCGAAGGCTTGTTCAAAAGAAAATTCAGTTTGGCAAGAAGAATCAACAGACCAAAGGCATTGTTTTAAAGGAGAGAAAGTCGTTTGTGGGAGAACACTCGCATGTCAGATGCCCGATAACTCGT